GATTTCTTGCTTTCTGTCTCTATGTCTCTCTGTCTGTCTGGCGAGCTCACGCGCCCTATAGCGAAAACCTCTCCAAAAAAAGAAAAACTGTGGTCAGCAGCCATGTGAGCGTCCAGCGCCTTAACCACCATGCCACCTGTTGGCCCTAGTATAATGAATTTTATATAGCATCTATGAGTGTAGTCACTACATCTAAATCTTTATCACAGGAATATTGACATTTTATTTATTTTTTCTTTTTTTGGAGAGGTTTTTGCTATAAGGCACGTGCGCTCGCCAGACAGACAGAGAGAGACAGAGAGACAGAAAGCGAGAAATCACACCCCAGGGGGGGATAGCCATGCCGCAATCCCTTCTCCTCCATTCTCCTCTTGGGATCTTGGGCACACACACACACATGTGCCCGGCATGAGTTTAAGCCACCAGGTCCGGGACTCGAACCGTGGTCGACTACGTGGGAGTCCAGCGACACAGCATTACGCTAACTGCTGGTCCCAGGAATATATACATTTTAAAGAGAAATTAGTACTATCACATATGAATCTAAATTGGGTGAGAGCGGTGACCATTTTGTATAAAAGCAAAATCTCAACACCATAACAAAATCCTTTGTAGTCAAGGTAATGGATAACCTTGAGTAAGGCTAAATAAATGGGAAAATAATCTGATTTTGACTCACAGATTCTCCCTATTGTAAAATTTGGACTGGTACTACAGTATATTTTTGGACTCTCTCTTCTAAAACAATTACTATGAGTCAAAATATACTGTTGGCCAGGTAGCAGATATAAAACTTAGATCCATTTGTTGAACATGAACTATGACAGCCAACTCTGTAAAGCCTGCTTGGTAATAATTCTACCAGACATTTCTATACAAAGCTTGTCTCATATGAAATGCACAATATTCTGCTTTCTGTAATACTACTATTATTCACCACTTTTTCTCTGATGTTTGTTCATTGATAGTAGCAGGGAGTCATGTGTTATTTGGGTTGGTCTGAAATGGGAAGATGCTTTTATATGGTAATATGTCAAAAAGGAAAGGATTAAAAATATCCTATGGAACTAATATGGTTCTGTAAGAATAACACTAAGACTGAAGTCATCTTTATAATATTGTGTGTAAGCAAAAAAACAAACTGATAAAGGTCAGCAAGTGGAGTGGTGGTTGAGGCATTTGATCGCACATGACTGACTCCATAGTTCAATTCCTGGACCTGGAACCTTGGGAAATAGGCCAGGTGCGTGTGTATGTGCACCAAAAATCCTAAGCAAAGAATGGAGGAGATGGAATTGTGGTGTGGACATCCCCCAGGGGGTGAATTCTCACTTTCTCTCTCTCTGTCTCTCTCCTGCAGTCTACATGCCCTATGGCAAAAAATCTTTAAAAAAAAGAGAATAAAATAAAAAATAAACTGATAAGGATTTGACTATAGGGGAAGAGGACTCTAGGCATTTCTGGAGTCATTTAATATATTTTGCTTCTATAAAAAGGATAATGTGAATTGCAGGGTGGCTTGATTGAAACTTCAAACAATTTAAGTCATCTTGGGTAAAGGAGAGCACTGACAGGATTTAAAGCCATGCTATAGCTTTCCTGCATAGTACTATATTGTTCAGAACAAGCCTAATAATAGTTTCATACCAAATCTTAGGCGAAAGAAATCAAGAGGAAAGGGCAAAGTAGTTGTTTGGGTACTGCGTTAGAAGGTTGTTACTACACTACTTGAATGTTCTCCCTATGCTGGTACCTTAAAACTTGATATTGGGACCAGCAGCTGACGTAATTAATGGCTGTGTCACTGGGCTCCCATGTAGTCGACTGCGGTTTGAGTCCTGGACCTAGTGGCTTAAACTCACGCCAGGTGCATGTGCGTGTGTGCCCAAGATCCTGAGAGGAAAATGGAGAAGGGATTGCAGCATGGCCATCACCCTGGGGCGAGGTGTGTGTGCGTGACTTCTTGCTTTCTGTCTCTCTCTGTGTTTCTGTTGAGCACACGTGCCCTATAGCAAAAATCTCTCAAAAAAATGGTATTTTCCAGTTAATTTCAAACAGTATTAAAACAAAAATATTATTTTAATAGGAATACCACATTCAAATGAATGACCACTAGCCTGAGTGAAAGCTGTTCTAATTCTTAGGATAACTAAGCTTTTGAGGGAGGAAGTATAATGTAGTGGTAGGAATCTTAGACTCAACTAAAAAAAAAAAAAAAGGTCTATGGTGTGGCAGTTAAGATGACTTGATCCCATATGGCTGACTGCACACCATTCCAAAACCTGGACCAGCAGCTTGAGAAATAATGCGGGTGCATGTATATACATGCCCAAAATCGTCAAATGGAGAAATGGAGGAGGGATTGCAGCATGATCATTCTCCATGGAGGATGATTTCTTTCCTCTCTTTCTTTCTCTCTGGCAAGTACACATGTTCTCTGTAAATAAAGAGAGAGAGAGAGAGAAGAAAAGAAAAGAAACAGTACTCAATTGTTCATCTTTGCTCTGACTTTTACATTTGTAGTTGTCAGCCATTTCAAAGAAAATTAGAATCAGATATTTTGAGACTTGAGGCTGAACTAGTAATAAACAAAATAATAAAGGGGGTCTAGAAGGTGGCACAGCAATAAGGCAGTGCTAGACCCATACGGAAAATTCCTGGGTTCCCATCCCATAGTCTCTCTGTACAGGCATGTGCATTTTCCAGTGATCCAGGCTGGCTAAGGCTGGGGTGGAACATGGTGTGAAGACCCTGTTGTGGGTGCTTGTCCCTCCCTCTTGTGCTCTCTCTCTCTCTCTTACATGGAAGAAATAAATAAAAGGATTTTTTAAAATTATTTTATTTAACTTTATTCATTCAGGAACATGCACTTACCAGACAGAATCAGAAAGAGAAGGAAAGTGAGAAAGCAAGTCGCCAGGTTGGGGACTTGAACCACAGTCGGCCATGTGGGAGTCCAGCACCCTTAACCACCAAACCACCTGCCGGCCCAAAATAAAAGTTTTTCTTAAAAGCAAACAATAAAGGAGTGGTTACTCTTTGTCAACCAACTGCCTATTTTATAACCTTTTTCAAATCTCTCCTTTCTTCTAGTATCTCTAGCTCTTTCTAGGTGCCTAGCTTATGCTTCTTTCTTTTTAAGAATTATTATTTATTTAATTTTATTTATTCATTAATTTATTTTCATTTTGTAGTGCCCTGGTCGCGAAGTTCCTAAAAGACCACCAGGGTGCCATTCCAATGTAAACACACAAGGGTCCTTTTATTCAGGCTCAAGCCAGGGCCCCCAACCCTCAAGATACAGCAATAGCGGGGTTAGTTGGGCTGGGTTTTTATTTGGCTGTTGTGGGGGAGGTCGAGTGGTGCTGAGGAATGCACTCAGAAGACAATACATTGGTTATAGATTACAGGGAATGTAGCTGTCTCTGGTTGATTGGTTATTAAGCCCTTGAGTTAGGCAAAAAGTTACTTTAGGTTTCCGATATCTCCTTTATTTCTTTCATTGGTTAGTCCCGGTAGGGTGATGGTCTCATGACTTTTTTTCTACATGTCCAGCTCACCTTTTTGAAATGGTGCCATCCCTCAGTAAGGTGGGGCAAAATGGAGTCGTGGGACAAAATGGAGTCGCTCTGGTTTTGCTCTGGTCCTTCAATTTGACCAGAGAAAGACAGACACACAGAGAGAAGGAAAGTGAGAAAATGAGTCACCAGGTCTGGGACTCAAAACAGTGGTCAACCACGTTGGAGTATCCAGCACCTTAGCCACCACGCCACCTGCTGGCCCCAGTTTGTACTCATTTCTATTTTTTTTGGAGAGGTTTTTGCTACAGGGCGCGTGCGCTGACCAGATAGAGAGAGACAGAGAAACAGAAAGCGAGAAATCACCCCCCAGGGGGGATGGTCACGCCGCAATCCCTTGGGGGGCTGATGGCCATGCCGCAATCCCTTCTCCGTTCTCCTCTCGGGATCATGGGCACGCACGCACATGTGCCCGGCGTGAGTTTAAGCCACCTGGTCCGGGACTCCAACCGCAGTGGACTACGTGGGAGTCCAGCGACATAGCTATTACTCTAACTGCTGGTCCCAGTTTGTACTTATATCTAAAGATGCTTTGACTTAAGTAAGCTTTCTTCTACTGATAGACATCCTACCTGTAGACCTTTCCTTTCAAATATTAGGAGATATGTTTTAGAGTAAGTCATTGAATCTGTCTTCCAATTCTTCGAATCATGCCATGTAATTAAGTGCTCTCTACCTGAATACATAAAAATATGACTGACTACAAAGTTGCCTCTTGCTACTGGATTATTTACCTCTATGCTATTTCTTGTGTATTTCCTTCACTATTTTATTACTTTACTTCCTCACTTCCTTTCTTACTTTGTCACTTAGAGAAAAAGCATACTAGAGTAAGTGTCTAGCTTTAGCAGAGAATCAAAGTTGACACTATTGTTCTATGTTAGTAAGAAACTCAAATGCTATTTAGTAAAATTATTTATTTACATGATCTCCCCTTTAAGTTATCACATTATGAAAGTATTTTGGTTTTGCATAAGTAAAGTTGTCATAAATATGTTTAACACAATTTCTCTTTATTGCTCCAGTAAACTAACCCTAAAATACTATGTTATGATTTTACAAATTCACTGTTATTATATTATCATTTGTCATGGCTGCTAATGTTTTCAATGCTTTGAAATATGATGAAGTAGAATATAGATCGTTTGCGTGAGCCATGTTACTATTTGGCTTTTCCTATTTTCTTTTTATGTATTTTCTAATACAGATGACATTATAATCCTTAAAAAGATAGAAAGTGAAACAACTGAAGAAAGAAAGAAAGGGAGAGGGAACCATAAGAAAAAGAACTCAGCTTCAAAACAGCGATCAAATGCTCATAAGCATCACCGGGAGAGAGGTAAAGTATACTAAATAAAATCATCACTGGTAAGAAGGGACTGAAATATTCATGAGTAGCTAGGTAAGCAAATTCAAGAACCTGTACTATTGTTCTAAAGTTGCGTTATGTTGCTTGTTTCATTTTTCCTGGATATGGACTCATACAGGGTTGGTTAGAATTTATGCTGTGGGGCCAGCAGGTGGCATAGTGGTTGGAGCACTGGACTCCTACACAGCCAACCGTGGTTTGAGTCCCAGACCTGGCAGCTTGCTTTCTCACTTTCTCTCTCTCTCTGGTAAAATTTAAAAAAATCATAATAGGGACCAGCAGTTGGCGTAATGGCTATGTCGTTGGACTTCCATGTAGTCGACCACGGTTCAAATCCCGGAACGGGTGGCTTAAACTCATGCCGGGCGCTTGTGTGTGCATGCCCAAGATTCTGAGAGGAGAATGGAGGAGAAGTGACTGTGGCATGACCACCCCCTTTGGGGGGTGATTTATCGCTTTCTGTCTCTCTTTTTTTGGCAAGCGCACATGCCCTATAGCAAAAACTTCTCAAAAAATAATAATAATAAAAATTAAATAAATTAATTCTTTTTAAAAATAATTATTTAATTTTATTGATTCATTCATTTATTTAATTTGACTAGAGAGGGACAAAGAGAGAGGAGCAAGAAAGCAAGTCACCAGATCCAGGACTTGAAATGTGGTCGGCCATGTGGGAGTGTCCAGCACTTCAACCACCACACCACCTGCTGGTCCCAATAAATGAATTCTTAAAAAAAAGGAATTTATGCTGTAGTTCGAATCCCAGACCTGGTGGTTTGAAACTCATACTGGGTGTCTCTGTCTCTCTGGCAAGCACATGAGCCCTATTGCAAAAATCTCTCTAAAAAGGAATTTTTACTGTGTCAAATTAAACAAAAAAATCTTTTTTCCTTTTTGAGAGATTTTTGCTATAGGGCATGTGTGCTCACCTCCTGGGGGAATTGTCATGGCTCAATCCCTTCTCCTCCATTCTCCTCTCAGGATTTTGGGCATGCATGCATATGCCCCCAGTATGAGCTTCAAGGTGCTGGGTCCAGGACTTGAACTGCAGTTGACCATGTATGAGTCCAGCACCTAAACCACTATTCCATCTGCTGGCTAAAAATATATTTTTTAATGTATGTTGATTACTTCCCTAAGGGAGGACAGGATGAGAAAAGTAAACATATGGACTGAGAAATGTTTTGTACATGTTTACAAGCCTGGCTGTTTGGCCCAGTTCCACTTTTAAAAGCCAATACAAGAGCATAGACTATAAACTGGGCACTTTGGTATCTGCATTTTTTTTTTTTTTAGTTTTATTTCTTCCAGGAATGAGAAAAATAGAGAGAGAGAGAGAGAGAGAGAGAGAGAGAGTACCCCTTGATGCCATGATCCACATGCAGCCTCAGCCAATCTTAAGTCACGGACATTCACATGCCCAGCATACTCAGGCAGGACTCTAGACACAAACTCAGAATTTTTCCATGTGGTTCAGCCTCTCAGAGCATCACATTTTACTGCTGTACTGCCATTCAACCCCCTGACATCCACATTTTGATAAAATGACTATTTCAAGGCAAATGTAGAAGTTTAGAATTTGAAGAATGTCCTCTATTTCCCTAACCACATTGGTAAGTGTAGTGTACATATATATGAATGCACTGTAGATTGCCATAGTAAATAAGTCTTTTCAACAGTTAAGGGTTTCCCTGATCTAGTCAACAGGTTTGCACCATCCTGACATTGAGCATATGCTAATACCCTGCCGGTTGACTACCCAGGTTCATTGTAGTCCTTGTTTTAATTTTTCAGTGGCTCAGCCTGGTTTTGAGGGGGAGAGTTAGAATTATTTAATTTAATTGAATTGGATTTATTATTTTTTAAATTTGACCAGAGAGAGAAAGAAAGGGAAAGTGAAGAAGTGAGGCTGCCAGGTCTGGGACTTGAACTGTGCCTGGCCATGTGGGAGTCCAGTGCCTTAACCACTACACCACCTACAGGTTCTTTAGCCTGTTCTTTGAATGCCAGAGGGTACATGCACATGAATGAGGGAGAAAAAGCACCCCACAGTAGGGCCTGGTCACAGTGCAATCCTTTTTCCTCCAATTCTCCATCCTGTCAGAGTCCTGGGAACACACACATGCCTGGTATGTTTTCAATCCGCCATGGTCAGGACTTGAACCCTAGTTGGTCAAATGGGATTTGGCTTTATCTGTGCAGTGCTTAATCGCCATACTCTGAGGCTGGCCCTCAGCCTCTTCCTAGAAAAGAGAGATGGTCCTTATTATAGGGGTAAAGTAGCTAAGAATGGTGTGAGGTCCCATTCCCAATGCTCTTAATCAAACATAAAGTTGATCTTTGTGAACCTTATGATCTATATTCTTTGATTGTTTTTAAGCTGTCTTTATATCCAAAGCAAAGTAGGCAACTGAGGTACCTATCTACATGACTGAAGCAAAGCAGAAAATTTCTTTCCATCTCTCCGTTTAATGTTGGAGTATTCTTTACATCAATTTTAGATAATATTTCCCAACTTTGGTGGGATATGAAAACAAATTTGAGGGGCCAGCCTGTGGCATGGTGATTAAGATGGCTAGATCCCACATTGCTGACTCTGTGGTTCAAGTTCTGGACCAGCGACTTGAGAAACATGCTGAGCACATGTGTGGGCATGCCCAAAATGCTAAAAGAAGGGAAAAATGGAGAAGAGATTTCAGCATAGACCATTCTTTATGGGGGGGTGCTTTCTCAACTTTCCTTCTCTCTCCGTCTCTGTCAAGTGAGCACATGCACCCTCTGGCAAAGATGTAAAAAAATTTTTTGAGGTATTATACAATGAGAAGACTGCCTATTAAGGTATCCAAATAGAAATAGCATGACAGAGACTATCGTAGAATTCAGTGAGACTCTCAAGTGATATCAGAATAATGAATATAAAAAGTTTTGTAAAACCCAATGCAAAGATTTAATACATGTGATCATAGATATTATTTCTGAACAATATATTGAATCTACTGATGGGAAATACAGAAAATGATTATTTTTTCAGAGGTTACTCAAGATTCAGAAACAACTCCAAGGACAGAAATCATGAAAAAACATGTCAAAAGCCTTCTGGATTTGAATCTGGACAAAGTCCTTTTAACAGTCAGCATTTACCTAAGCAGGTAAATAAATATCAGAAATTAACCAATATAAAAAAGTCCTAAATTTAATGTATTTCTTTTTTACTAAGATCTATTTAATTTTATTAATTATTATTATTATTATTTGCTCTAGGGCACATGTGCTAATGAGAAAGAGACAGAGAGAAAGAGAAAATGAGAAAACAAGCCACTGGGTCTGGACATAAACCTCAGTCAGCTATGTTGGGAGTCCAGCACCTTAACCACCATATCACCTGCTGGTCCCTAATGTATTTTTTTTTTTTTGGAGAGATTTTTCACTGTAGGGCGCGTGCGCTTGCCAGACAGACAGAGAGAGACATAGAGACAGAAAGCGAGAAATCACCCCCCAGGGGGGATGGTCACGCCACAATCCCTTCTCCTCCATTCTCCTCTCAGGATCTTGGGCATGCACGCACACGCGCCCGGCATGAGTTTTAAGCCACCGGGTCCGGGACACGAACCGCGGTCGACTACGTGGGAGTCCAGCGACATAGCCATTACGCTAACTGCTGATTCCCCCCTAATGTATTTCTTAATATTAAGGATTATTTTAATTTTGTGGAAAGCAGAGATTCTTCCTTAGTATTCCTCTATGGGGCCTTGGACATAAATTCAATATTCCTTAGTTGATTTTTACTGTGCAAGTCTTTTAATAAACATCTGATTCTTGATATTTTCAATCTGCACTAGAGATTATGAATTTATAAAATGCCAAAATTGATGGTTGGGTATTATGATTTGTCCAATTCTCATTCTGTCCTCATACAGCCTTCAACCTTAGCTTATAGTATAAGTAAAGTCACAGTAGCCTTGAGAATGAATAGGTATGAAATATATGAAATATAATTAAGGGGACTAGGAGATGGAGTAATGGCTATGTTGCTAGACTCCCATGTAGTCGACAGTGGTTCTAGTCCCGGATCCAGTAGCTTAAACTTACACTGGTGTGTGTGCGTGCATGCCGAAGATCCTGAGAGGAGAATGGAGGAGAAGGGATTGTGGTGTGGCCATCCTCCCTGGGGGGTGATTTCTCACTTTCTGTCTCTCTGTCTTTCTGTTGAGTGCACATGCCCTATAGCAAAAACCTCTCCAAA